TCTTGGTTTCAGCTCAGGTCACGATCTCAGGGTCTTGAGATGGAGCCCCGTGCTCAGTGTACAGTCTGCTTGAGATTCCCTCCTTCTCCCTTTGCCCCTCACCCTGCTCATGTTCTCTCTCTCAAATAAAACAATGAATAAATAAATAAAATCTTTAAAATGAAGCTTGATAAAATATATATTCAAGTTACAAAAATTGAGAGAGCCATAAATTCAAGAGGTGGATACGATTTACCAGGCACAATTACAGGCCGACTGTGCTCCTAATCAAATAAGCATTTAGTTTTAGTAACACCTGTGGCACTGTGAACTTTTTGATGAAGAAATAATTTGTAAATCAATAATAGTTGAACTGATGTGACTGTACTTTCCTCTAAAACCCCAGGACACCCATCTCAGAACTAGCTTATCTTTATCATCAAATGCTACCACCCTGCCCAGTTATAGTCAAAAACAAACAAAAACAAAACACTCAAAGTGATTTCATTTGTTCATCATCAAAAATTTACTGAAGATCAGTAATATGTCAGATGATATTCTAGGTGCTGGGATAGACATGAAGAAGAACAAGACATGGTCCCTACACTTGAAGACTAGGACAGGAGATGTATTTATGACCAGTACATTTGACAAAGTGGAAGAGTGTGATTGAGGTGTCAACAAGAATCAGCTCCATCAGGAAAAATTTCTAAGAATGGAGGCCAACAATCAGAAATTTTACAAGCCTTCCAGACGATTTGAGAATTAAGCCCTAATGCCCTAAGGCAATGCTTCTCAAGGTTTAGGAAGCATGAGAGTCACCTAGAGTGTTTGATAAAGTACAGATCCCTGTACCCCATCCACCCCCCACCATGCTGCCTCAATTGGGACAGGACTCCAAAATGGCATTTCCAACACTTTCCCAAGCAATGCTGAGGTTTCTGTCCTGGAAACTACACTTTGAGAACCCCTGTCCCAAGGCAACCATTGTACGTCATCCATTAACTTCTCTCACTAGCTACACGTTGTCCTGGGAAGAAGTGGGAAGACTGTCCCTCAAGTCATGTCCATTCTGTGGTTCAGAGGGAGAGCTCCAAATGAGAAAGGCTGAACAACGGGAAAAGGGTAGTATTTGTAAAAAAGGAAAACTGTATAAAAGTGAATTTGTGAAAGACTGAGTTTGTTAAGATGCAGCCACGGTGGTTTGAGAAAAGCAGAGCAAATGTCCAAGTGCAAGGAGAGAGGAACTTGGGTAGACCCAATGACATATGATAGAGCTAAAATTATTTTTTCACATCATCAAGTTAGGTAAATCATGTGGGATCCTGCTCCTTGGAATTTCAGGTCTAAGAAACAAGGAAAATGAAATACTGGTTCTTCATCAGTTTCTTAGTTTCTTAAAAAAGAGGCAGATTCATGTTTTCTTTTGATTTCTTAGGCCTAAGAAATTGAGTTGAACCTATGTTTTCCTTTTCAATCCACATGCTACTTTCTGAAATTGGAAAATAACATGATTTAGAGTATGGAGACCGAAGTTTCAGTATTGGAATGTGACTGATAATTCCTATTCTAAGCTAAGAGTTTTAAAAGGCCATTCCTTGGGGCTTAATCATTCAGGAACTTCATCAAAAATAATTATGCTAACTACCATCCACCCATCCATGATCTCAACAGTGAAAAGGAAATACCACGTAAGGAAATGTACAATCCAGTGGGTGAAGACACACATTAAATAGTGAATTCATTATGATTTTGATAGATCTTATTTGGGGAAAAACAAACAAACAAAAAACCAAAAAAACTTTGACAGGAGCTGTAACGAGACCATCTAACTTTGAAGGCTGGAGATAGAGGTCACAAAAGGGTTTTGAAGAAAAGACATTTAAGCCAATACCTGAAGGATAAATAAGCAGAAGCCAGAGTAAGAGTCATGAAAAGTGTAACAGTCAGGAAGGGCTTCTTGTGCCCAGGGTAAGAGACAGGAAGACAGAAGGCCCAGAAAGTGAATGATGTCAGGGATAATGATGTCAGGGATAATGTTGGCAAGGTTGGTAAATCCAATCATTTGGACCATATTGAGAGATATAAACAGGCCCCTGACATGATCAGATTTGTATTTTTTTTTAATCTTTTATTTTTTTAAAGACTATTTATTTAAGGGAAACAGAGATAGTGAGAGAGAGCACGAGCAGGGGGAGGGGCAGAAGGAGAGGGAGAAGGAGACTCCCAACTGAGCAGGGAGCCCGATGTGGGGCTCAATCCCAGGACCCTGGGATCATGACCTGAACCTAAGGCAGACGCTTAACTAACTGAACCACTCAGGCACCCCCGATTTGTACTTTAAAGAATCATTGATAGTTTCCATATACAAAATGCACTAAAAGAGGGAGATTGCATTCAGAGCAGACATAAAATAATAATTTAAAATCCCCACTCTTCCTCAGTTCTTAAGGAAAAAAAAGCACTATAGGATTTACTTTTTCATAACATCATATACTATGATTATAGTGTTGTCTCTTACAATGTGCATTACTTGGTTCTGCACCAAGAAGAATATTCTTCATTTTAAGCAAACTGAAAGTGTATAAAGAAGACAGAATTAAGGGAACTGAACAGCCCAATTTCTGTGTCATAAGCTGAACTGTGCCTCTACCACAACAAATTCCTATGCTGAAGTCCTAGCCCCCAGGACTTCATAATGTGACTGTATATGGAGATAGGGCCTCATATGGGTGGGTCCTCAACCAATCTGACTGATGTCCTTTAAAATTTTTTTTAAAGATTATTTATTTATTTCTTTGAGAGAGATGGAGCATGTGTGGGAGAGAGAATAGGACGGTGGGGTGAGGCAGAGGGATAGGGTGAAGAAAACTCCCCGTAGGGAGCAGGGAGCCTGACAACATGGAGAATCAATTCCAGGACCCTGGGATCATGACCTGAGCTGAAGGCAGATGCTTAACTGACTGAGTAACCCGGTGCCCCTGATGTCCTCCAATTCTTTTTTTAATTTAAGTTTATTTATTTAAATAATCTCTATAGCTAATATAGGGCTCAAACTCATGACCCTGAGATCAAGAGTCACATACTCTTCTGACTGAGCGATCCAGGTGCCCCAAGACTGATAGCCTTTTAGAAAGAAGAGAGTAAGACAGAGACAGAGAGGGAAGCACTGGGGTATTGGGCATTTATAACCAAGATACAGGGAAAACAAGGTCATCTACAAGACAAGGTGAGAAGCCTCAGAGGAAACCAAACCTACTGACACCATCACCTTGGACTTCCAGCTTCTAGAACTCTGAGAAAATAAATTTTTGTCATTTAACCCACCCAGTCTGTTGTATTCTGTTACAGCAGCCCTAGCAAATTACCATATCTGTATCAAAAGCCCTTTGCCTAAAAAGGAAATAAAGAAAGGTCACCATAGATCTTAGAAAATGTTTTGTCTTGATAAAGTTGAAATATGTTCATTTCTCAGCAGGAGTACAAATGAAGGAGAGACTAATCTGTTAGAGAGAGTTTTGGGGCGGGGGTCAAGAAGTGAGAGAAGGACCAGAAGGATGAGTGCTGTTCATTTCAGTGAACTCCCACACTGACCAGCCCTCCCACAGCAGCTTAGATAATATCTGACATTGGCAAAATTCAGAGCCCTGGCTGATGTGATTAGCTCTGTCTTGACCACGTAAACGAGCAGTTACCAGTGATCTGAAAAAGTGAATGCCTCAAGCATACATTCAAGTTCAGGAGAGTTTCTTCATTCTGCTTATTTCTCTTCAAATCAGCAGGCATCTTGTATATTTCTACCAGAAAATGGGGGGAATATGAATTTTAAGACATGGTCCATGAGTTAGAGGAAGTTAAGGTAGATATCAGTATTGACTGACTGATTGATTTAGAAAGATAGAGAGAAACTGAGCCCAGGAGGGGCAGAGGGAGAGGGAGAATCCCAAGCAGGCTCCCGCCCGACATGGGGCCCAATATCAAGACCCTGAGATCATGACCCAGACCAAAGTCAAGAGTCAGAGGCCTAGCCGAATGAGCCACCCAGGTGCCCCTACAAAATGTTATCTTTCAAAGTGGGTTAATAAACATTGGTTTGGAATGGTTTCCAGGTAATGACAGGATTTATTATAGATGGACACACCTGTCTGCAAAGGGCTGACTTCCCAAAGACACGAGCATCCATTCACTCACTCATCCATGTTAAGTCGGCTGGAGACACATAAACACACCAAGCCATGGAGACACGGCTTTTACTCTCATTCTTTGTTGTTCAGCAGTTTCTTTTTCTCTGTGGTTCCTTTTGCTTTGTTTTTCATGAAAGCACAGCAGGTACCACCATTTTAACTCCGTTTCTGGCTGAGATCTTCTTTTGTAAACATCCCTTAAAGTTAAGATGAAAACTACTTTTCCTTTCCTGACAATGAAAAAAGTGCAATTTGCTTTTTTCTGTTCTGCGTAAAATATCAAAACCACACAGCCAGAGCCTCTTAAATGCAAGTGCCCTCCTAACCTCCCCCCCCCCCACCTTATATTTCTGGGTTCCTTTGGACTTCCCAGTAATTCCTGTTTCTCGAAATCTTTCTTCTCTTCCTTTTCTTGACTGAGAAATTCTATCGTCTCATTCTTTGGAAATCACTGCAAAAACATTTGGATGCTTTGTTCACCGCATGGGCTCTTTAGCGCTGGGGTGCTGGGCATTTATAACCAATAGCAGAAATTGACAGCATCTGATTTTGCTAATCTACAGGCAAAGAGAGAATTGGGAACTGGGCATGCATACCATTATGACCCGAGACATATATAACCATTCTATGTACAGATTTTAGCAAGCACAACATATTTATAATTACACTGGACTTCTTTGATTGAGACAAAGATACAGAGTTGATTTGAAAAGCTTCTTTTTGGCAGGGAGAGGGTGAAATGTTCCATTGCTTTGGGCCCTAGTTCTAGAAAGGAATGGAATTAAAAGAGAGTAAGGAGGAAAGAAAAGTAATACATGTATGTAGCAAGTGTTTTACCTGGCAAAGCCAACACCTCTGCTGACTCCATTAGCATCTCTTAGTATTCTTGTGGAAATGACGTGTCCGAAGGGTTTCAGCATATTCTCAAGTTCCTGCTCATCCATGGAAATGGGGAGATTTGAGATGTATAGGTTTGTTGGGTCTTGCTCTTGTTGCTAAGAGAAGGAAAGAAACAAATACATTAGGTTCTGAATACTGAAAAACCTACTGCACGAATGGATAAAACTGTGCTTGCACTGCAACATAGATTCCCATCTCCAATACACTCTTGAACATTCTTTTACTAAGGGCACTACTTCTTTTCAATGAATTCCCTTCTTGCTGGAGTGTTTCTCATAGAAACAATGTCATAAATGAAAAGCAAGCTTTCTGCCCTGCCTCTTTAGGAAAGAAATATAAACTTTTATTGCAAGGAACAAAGCAAATGTATATTCTTTTCTACTACCACTAACTACTGCTTCTACTCTCAAAACTCCAATTACCATCACCACTAATTACAAATGTTGCATTTAGTGGGAGTTCATTACAGGGCTAAGCATTATTCTATACAGTCAATATGCATTATTTTATTCAATATTCCCAATAAATATAACTGTTACCATTTTACAGAAGACAAAATTGATCCTTAACTTGTCCATGTTACAGAGTTCATAAGTATCAAAGCCAGGGCTCAACTCTGGGGCTATCACCAAAGTCTGTGGGATATCACCTAAGTCCATAGGCTTCACTGTCCTGCTCTACTGCCTTTCATTAGACAAAAAGGCTGGGGTCGAGGGGAGCCACATCAGCCTCATCATCACTGTGGGACTTGCTAAAAATGCAAATTCTGAGACCTTACCCCAGAAGCACAGAATCAGAAACTGAGGATGGAACAAGCAATCTGTGTTTTGACAAGCCCTCCAGGTGACTCTGATGACTGCACAAGTTTGGAAATTGCTATCCTACACCTTACATGTTAATGTTTGAATGAAATTATGATGTCTATCATTTTCTAATCCAAAAGCAATAGTGCTAAGTACATTTCCTTAATAGAATGGGAACCCAAACAATTGTTAGCATGATCTCTATGTCCACGAATATCCTCTCTATCACACAATGAATTAGAATTGGGACTTTGTTGTATATATGTATCAAGATAAAACAGCCACAAACCTGACACATTAGCCATTAAGATCAAAATATATCATATATTTAACTGCACCTTTATATTTTAACAAAAACAACAAACTTAGCTTCAAAGATAAGCAAGATTAGATTGGAAAAAGAAATTATGAAATCTATAGGAAATGACATTATGTAACAGTGAAACATCTTTTGTAAAGAGATATCATATTCTGTAGAAAATTCGAGGTTTTAGGCACAGTGAAAAAAATACAAGCAAGATTCCAAATATTATTTCAAGACAAAAGACAATTTTGGCCTGAAGCTATTGTTTTTAACAGTTCTAAATATTCAAATAGGTCATAATGTTTTTATTAAGCTTAGAGATTAATAAGATGTATTATTAGGTGAAATTCTTTAACAATTTAGTTTTTAAAGCTTTTTTTATCACCATGGAAGAATGGTAAAAATAAACATATAATCAATTAGAAAAAGACAACACACTTTTAGTATTTAGGAATAGTGTAAATGTAGAAACTGTATAACCGTAGTCAGTCTCTCGCCCCCCTTTCTCTCAACACACACACACACATGCACACGCACACTACTAAAAAAATGTCATGATCCTAGAGTGAAAACAGAGATAATATTATCTATTATCCTTTCCTAAATGGTCATGATCATGTTTTTGTTCTTTTTTTTTTTTTTTTTTGAATTGGGATAATGGGAAGAAAAAAAGGAAAGAAAAAGTCGTGTTTCAGATACATAATAAAGAATCTTATATACATACAACTGGTAAAAAATTTTCTATTGGGGCACCTGGGTGGCTCAGTGGGTTAAGGCCTCTGCCTTCGGCTCAGGTCATGATCCCAGTGTCCTGGGATCGAGCCCCACATCGGGCTCTCTGCTCTGCAGGGAGCCTGCTTCATCCTCTCTCTTTCTCTGCCTGCCTCTCTGCCTACTTGTGATCTCTGTCAAATGGATAAATAAAATCTTTTAAAAAAAATAATAACGTTTGTTTAAAAAAATTTTTTTTTCTATTAATTTTAGTGAAAGAAAGAGAGAGCATGAGTGGAAGGGGCCGGGGGAGAGAGAGAGAGAATTTGAGGCACACTCCATGCTGAGCACCAGCCGAAGGTGGGGCTCGATCTCAGGGCCCTGAGACCAGGACTTGAGCCAAAACCAAGAGTCAGACATTTAATGCACTACGCCACTGAGGTACCCCTATACAACTTTCATACAATTTCACTACCCATCATTTACTTTTAATTTTTATGTCACTCCAAAGGTAGCTTGGCAAATAAGAATATAATCATTGGATAATGAGGAAAGGGAGTCATAAAGATGCATCATCTTGCCTAAGGACAATCTGATAATTAGTGACAGGACTGGAAATAGACTTGGTGACCAAGTTTCCTATCTTCAAGTTCAGTGTGTTTTTCACTAGCCCAATGTTTCCCAAGCTTCAGTCACCTGCATATCACCTGAGAAATTTTTGCCAGCCACACACAACTTTTTATTTGCTGAAAAGCTTCCTTTAAATCAACATACTTTTGGCCTTAACTAAGTTTGCTTAAAAAGTAACTCTATGTTGCTACCAAACTAAATAGCTGGTATTACTTGGCTTAGATAGGTTATTGTTAGAACAGGAAACAACAAATCAGTGTTATTAAATTATAGCTAGGTACTGTTTGTTTGCAAAAGGCATTGACTCTTGTGGCTGAAATTTCTCAGTTACAAACGAGATTCGTAATTAAGAAAGGTGTGAGAAACTCGCTAGCACCAGATGGAGGGGTTTTTTGTTTTGTTTGTTTGTTTGTTTGTTTTTTCCTTTTCTGGGAAGAATCAGAATTGAGACAGAATTAGGAAAAGAATCATCTTCTTATGATGCAATTTCTGGATCCTACACACCTAGATCTACTTAAGTTCCACGAGAGATACACGTCCCACAGAATAGGAGTTCTTGCATTAACCCTGAACTTCTCAGAGAGGAGCCGCAGTCCTCTGAATGGCAGGAATTTGTCCTGCATTCTACACCTCTTTGTCCTCGATCAGGCTAACTAACCACAACCAGCCAACCCACTATCCCAGCATACTGTACAGATCTTGTCATTTTATCTAGGTAGGGAAGAATTAGTTTATCCTCATTCAAATCTGTTTCCAAATTCTCCAAGTGTAGAATTCATTGCAGCTTCTCAAAATGATGCGTGATCAACACACAGGACTTAGAACATAAGGGAATGGCCAGTAAGCTGTTTTCTGAATTCAAATTCAAACAGCAAGGCCAACTCCTTAATCAGTATTCGCAGACACATGATAGTACTGGATGGTGTAATTCCTTAATTTATATTCACAGAAAATGTATAGCATTGGGAAATGTTATTTATTGAGTAATTCTGTCCTTTGAAATGCAGTACTAGTATTGAATATATGTGTTGACATGACACAGAATGAACTTTAAAAGAATATATACATTTTTTTAAGAAGATTTTATTTATTTATTTGACAGAGATCACAAGTAGGCAGAGAGAGAGAGAGAGAGAGAGAGTGGAGGAAGCAGGTTCTCCACTGAGCAGAGAGCCCGTCGTGGGACTTGATCTCAGGACCCTGAGATCATGACCTGAGCCGAAGGCAGAGGCTTAACCACTGAGCCAGCCAGGCGCCCTTATACATTTATTTTTATACAATTATACATTCATATTTTTACTTTTAATGTTATCTAGGTATCAGGTTTATGTAAATTGATGGCCACTTTCAAAAGATGCTTCAGCACTACGAACCACAGAGCACTCTCCTTTAAACGTTTCAGAAAAAAATTCTCATGTGAGAATTGCAATCTAAAAGAACTTCTAGAAAACTTTTTTAACTTAAATTTTCAGGTGACTTAGCTCCAGAATGGACCTTAGGGGATATCTTCTTCAATCTGATCATTTAACAAATGGGGGGAAAAAAGAAGTTAAAGGAGTAGTATGGCTTGCTCAAGTTCATGGGCTTGAAATAGAACTCATGTCCTTTTTACATGGTTCTATGTGCTTACCAATTCACGACACTGTCTTTTCTCTTAAGAAACAATGATAGCAGACAACAGGCTGTAGTTCAAAGGAGTATTAATGCAGATGACAATAAAAACCTCTGAATTCCTTGTTTTATTCAGTTTTGCTTATTCATCAATTAACTTTAGCTATCGAGTTAAGGTTATGAAAAAAGAAGACAAGAAAAAAAAGGTCCTAGCCTTGGTCAGCATTTTACACACTCACTGAATGAATACTCTGCACCGTATACTCATTTGTAAAAGTATGTGACTACAATTCATACATGTACTACATTGGATCGACCAGGTCACCATAAGTAACTTCCCAATATTGGTCTGTTTTTGTATCTTTTCTTACAGGGATTTCTTGATCTATTATTTAATTTTGTTATAAGATTGTGAAACAGTAAAGTATCCTCTCCATTATTAATGAAAGCAGAGACCTGTCATTTCACTCAAGAATACGTAAATAATTTATTTTTTTTCTGAAATGACTTCCATTTTCTTAGATTTTTTGTATAGGCAAATTGCCAAAATAGGGCACTGGTTTCTTTTTAACAGTTTAAGACAATTTGAGTTTCGGAGCATTTCAAGGTAGGTTAAGCAAATGAATACCAATGAAGGACAATAATGGTTGCTTGCATCTAGATCAAAGGTTACTTCTGTTGGGGAAGGTCACAGGGAAGAGAAGATAGGATCACTGGTTGATCCATTAGCTGCACCTGGGCTCACTGGTTGATCCATTAGCTGCACCTGGGCTCATTGGTTGATCCATTAGCTGCACCTGGGCTCATTGGTTGATCCATTAGCTGCACCTGGGCAACTGGAGACTCCTCACTTCCTCCCCGTCCTTGGAATGTGGGCTTCCTTGCTTTCCCCACTCCCAGAGGCTGTTGCAAGGACCCAACCTTGATAGAGTGATGTGGTTTTGAGACTACCTGCATGGCATACATGACTGAACCCAGTTAAGTCTGTAGAAACTGTTAAGATTTGGCAAGCAGGTACAGAGATCTACTCATTTCC